CGAACATTATCGTCTATTCGGACTATAGAGCCTTTGATTTATTTAACCTTATTCTATTTCCAGACTGATTGTCCCTTGGGACTGTCAAACCTTTCAATGTTCAATTGAATTCAAATCTCACATTTATTTCCATACCAAAATAAGAAATACCAACATACATTGTACAATACTCGATTAAGTACCAGACTACACGATAAAGTACAATAATCAACAAATATATAGAGTTTGTCAACAAGATAAAAAAAAAGTGAAAATATATAAATAGGTATGAAGGCATCTTCTAGACTAACGAACCTTCTGACTAACGAGCCTTCGGACAATTAGCTGTCAAAGGAATTGTGACAATAGGAAGACATTGAAGTGTCTCCCTTTACGTTTTCTCTCTAAGGTGTAAGATATGACTAAAAATGTCTCCTGAAGGGTACATTTACAGGAATTCCGCTAACAACATAGTAAACCCTTTGCCGACCCCTTCTTACCTGATGAAGCTGTGGGTAGATTCACTGGCGAAGAATATTTTACAAAAATCTACAACGAGGGCTCTGCACTTGTGCCTCCAGGTGCAAATTTGATGCGAGCAGAGAAATTCTTAGACACAATGCACCGGTATCTTAGTATATTTTGACAAAATAACTCATGATGTTTTCCCTTTAAAAGCATTCTTGTATCACATGAACGTTTGATGTTGGGAAATTGATGTGAAGTCATGTACCGGTGCCACGGGCTGAGAATTTAATTACGGATGGTCTTCTTTTGCCTACATGACAATCACATTTTATCACTATAGAACAGTTCATATATAGGCCGTATGTCTGATTAACCCAACATTGTGCAGATGTGGCATTTCAACTATCATAAAAAATGTGGCATTTAAACTATCCTCAAAATCCTGAAAGATCATCAAAAAGTGGGAAAAAAACAACTGGGCTATTCATTCGAATTCTTGTTGTCTAACGTATCACACAAATAAATGTGGAGGTGAACATTTCTGGTCAAGCATTGAACATCGAGCCGTTACAGTGCTATCTATTCCTGGTTCCAATGACACGTCGTGTCTCAACATTTCCATAAATTCGAGAAATGGTAATTATTTTGTTATTGTGTTCAAATCATGTCATCTGTATAATGCTGAAGTGCTGTGTCCGACATGCAAGTTGAATTAAGACCTATAATTAGTCAACCTATCGTTTCAATTTTTTTGCTGGTCGTCCTTCCGGTGATCGTGTGGTGATTCTGGTGTTTACAATTATTGCGTCCTCTTTTCGACGAAGTACCGGGTAATTAGTGATTGTGATATATGCACGTGCGTATTTAATTTCTAAGAAAGGTCAATTTAGGTCATGGCTCGTGACTCGCTAAACATTTTTACCGAAATGAAGATTAACAGACTGTTTTTGTGATGCAGGGTGGTGGCTATACTGATTGCGAGAATTGAACTCGAAAATCCTACCCTCTTTAGTACAAAATTGATTCTAATGCATTAATATGAAACTTAAATACATGATGATCTGTACTTGTTGAATTTATCTTTTTTCATAGATGATCCAAACTTAGTTCATCATGTTTTCTAAAACATGCATGGTTATTATCATGTTACATGTCACGCGACACCCCGCCCCATAAACACATTGTTTTTGGTTTATTTTTGGTAAATTACTGTTTATCAGTCTGTTATTGAATTTACAAATAGAATGTTTAGGATGACACTGCAGATTGTCCGCTAAGTAACCTGACATTAAAGTCCATTCAATTTATTTCGGAATGAGCCAAAAGGCTATGCGTGTTCCCCATCGAACAACTGTTCTCTGCTCTATGATCGAACAAAATACACCAAAGATGACGCATGCACTCAATAGTTCACCCCTTTACAGTTAATTCTTTCACAGAGACACCGAATTATTATGACGTGCACTTGGCATTGTTCCTTGATAAATGAGGCTATTAAATATTTGTTTACCGAACCGCTCGTTTATTATTCAAGATATTCCACATTAATAATAATAGTAACGAGAAAAATATAACACGCACTTCCGGAACCATTCAAAGGCACCGGTATTATGTAAAAGAAAAAAAAACAACTCATTTGATGATCAGAAACAAAGCCTGTATAAAGAGATTGTTTTGGTGTGTTTCTGTTTGATAAGTGTGATATTTTCCGTGTCTCTTAAATAATTATACTTATCAAAAGTGGGGCATTTTGAATTTTTTTTTTTAAATAGACGCCCTTATTAACCCAAATGTATAGCTTTTATAAGTGGATGGACATGGAGTGAAAGTTAGTCCCATTCTGGAAGGAGCTATCGTTCATCAATGAATAAATATTGCCGTTTGCCTCGTTAATTTGTCTAATAAATATATGTTGGCTTTACACTCATAATAAATATCAATATGGAGTAATTGGTATGAACAACTCAGAACTATAGATTCTTTAGGTACATGCAAATCAGAACTACCTAACGCCATCTGTGAGTGATATTTAACTCAAAATGCGCTGATCTACAGATACTTGGTCGCCATGGTATTAATTTGAAGCAAATTGGGTGTTTTTCCCCCAAAAGGTTTTTATGGGGTTTGCGCCCATCCCGTGATCAGTAATTCATGCATTATAGTTTAATGTATGTAATGGGTACAATGTGAGATGTACTTGTACATGTATAGTTGTAAATATTTATGTTTGTCGTGTGTTACACCAATGTGCTTTTCCTTTAGGGTTTAACTTTACTTAACCTTGTTAAATATTTTGTAATGTATGCAGGGCTCCAATGGAAACCAGTTTTTTAACTGTTTGGGCATACCCTGGGTAAAGAAATGGAAAAATCAATCAATCAAACAACCAAACGATGCGAAAGCAACCTACACGAATTTTCTCCATAGACGTTAGTGAAAACCATTAACGAAAAGCGATGGTATGTAAACCTTTAGATGAGCACAGAGTCATGGAGACCGACAACAGCATGTGTAAAGGCTTTAACAAAAAAAAATCCCTACACAATGTTACCTTTGTGGCCTCACATTTCTGAAATGATATAATTATGACAATGTACATGTAACTGTGACAACCACAGTGACGCATCTCTGCGCCCACGTGACACGACCACACCGTCAACCACATGTTTACGTGTTGGGATTACTTTAGACGACACCAATCATTGGCTACAACAATGGCTAATTATTTAACATGATTTATTGGAAGTCAAGGACGTCAATTTGATTACATGCTGAATTGTGGGATCGGGTTTTATCCGGTTGCCAACAGGCAGGCACTGTGTTAGATTGTCCACTGTAAAGATCGACTGCCCCGTGTTAGATTCTCAACAGTAGAGATTGACACAGCAAAATAAGAAGGAACTTGCACAATGTCTTATGATGAATGAAAGGTTTGCGGAAACACCATGTGGGAATAATTTCTCAAACTAAGGTTTGAAAAAATAAACTCGAAGCTCCGGTCAGTATGCTTTGACCGTCTTAAGAACCATTCTCTTAGTTTGAGAAATTATTCCCACATGGTATTTCCGCAAACCTTTCATTCATTAGTATTTCCACAATGCAAAGCCTCAAATCTTACATGTCTTATTATCTTTTTTGAGAGAACGGAACATAGACTTTTTTTCATGAGTCAGCCATATCAAATTGAAAGCGAGGTAAAGTCTTGATTTTTAGAACTTCCGAGTAGAAATGAAAGCAATGAAATACAAGTTCAATACAAATTAATACTAGTCTGCCCTGATTAATGAATTTAAAATTTGTTATTCAACATACCGTATAGCCACGATAAGAACAATTTAAAGTGAGACTTGAAACGCACGCCACCCAATAGTCTGGCACCACCCCATTCAACAGTTAACAATTTATAAAATAGATTCAGGAACACGATCGAAATTTCATCGCGATGAAGGTATATTGACGATTAAAGGAATCACACTTGGATCTATTTCACACTTGTTTACTCGTTTGCCAAAATGTGCGTGAAAACGCGTCAGAAGGCCTATGTCAAGCTTTTTTGGAAATTTTCTAAAGGTGTCGGCATAAAACTGACGCAATTATGTCAACCTTTTTACACGTGAACTGGCTCCAATAAGAACACACACGTGTAAACAAACTGCGATGTTGCATTTCTGCTTTAATCGATATTTTGGTATCGAATGTTTGTGGATTAGTTTGTTTTGATGCACATCCGCTTCTGAATGATTTTTTTTCCAACTGTTGTACACAAACCAATGGGCTGTAGAACTTGTAAATCTGTAATTATGGACTAAACCGAGACAATCAAGCTACCTTAATGAGAATTATGTTCATTTTTAATGACGAGAGAAAATAAGCCGTCCCAAATAAGACGGACATCAAGACACTGGTTGAAATTTCAAATTAAGCGAGAGTTGAAAACGAATACTAGAATGAGCTTCAGAGCAATTCTCAATTCATTATCTATTGACGAATTTCCAAACAACATCGATCCATTTTATTGCGGGGATTGCAAAAGAAAACTTCTTCAGTTCCCTACAAAGGTGTTGCACTGTGTGTCTTTGCTTTGAAGCTAAGAAGTAGCAAGGGTGGATCCAGGGGGGTGGGGTGGGCAACAGGGGCCATGCCCCCCCACCCCCCAAAAAACAACAACAAAAAACAACAACAACAACAACAAGAAAAACCCAAAACCCCCAAAAAACAAAAACAAAAAAACAACGAACCCAATTATTTTTTTAAAGTGACGTCGCAAAAAAGGCAGGCACTGCATTCACCCCCATCTTTTCCTCAGAAAAATGTGGTTAAAGTGGTCAGAAATTGCCTCAGATCACACCATTGAGCATCCTGAATCCAAATGTTTTGCTCCCCCCCCCGAAAAAAAAAACAACATGTGTTCTGGATCCGCCCTTGAGAAGTAGTCATATCTTGTCCCTTCAATCAAAGGCACGAACGCTTTTTTTATGATATATTATTAGGCATAAGATTATTCTAGAAACCTCAGTTTTAGATTATACACAATTCATGGAATTGATTTTTTAAAAATGTGCCTACGCACTTTTAATTAGTTCTGTTGTTGAAGATTATAAAAAACAACTGCACCTTTTATGACTTTCTCATCTCAAACCAAGTACGAAACAAATAATCATACAAAAGAGAGAAAAGCATCTTCGCTCATGTAGTGTGACAAATCGAAGTATCAACAGCTGCACAGCACCAGGGTAAGTATATATATATATATTTGTTAATCTGTTCTGAGAAGGAATCAGCAATTATGGTTTATGGAGCCATGTGCATCGGCTAGGGCAGCACCGAGTTAGTCTGCGGAATATCTTGACAAATTCCTTCCGGAAAGACTTGTTGACTACCGTATACACAATGGGATTGAGAGCCGCGCTCATGGTAGCGATGCAGGTCGCAAGGATGTCCACCTCGGTCCTGGAGTCAATGTAAGACATGACGAAGAGCGGTAGCCAGCACAGGCTGAAGACGCTAATGATATACGAGGCCCGTTTGGCCGTCTTGGCCTCTAGGTTCCTGCGTCCCCGAACGCGCATCTCAGGGTTTAGGACGCACACGGAACCCTGAATGTCGTCCGGTTTGCTACGTCTACTTGCCTCATTCACCTGCAGGGAAACCCGCCGGCTGATCATGGCAGGTGCGGATGGATTGTCCTCGGCAGACGGGCTAAGGCCTGAAGGTACAGCTGGTGTGATGGCAATTATCAACCCCTTGGGTTGCGCTGTGTTACCTGCCAGTTCCTCCACTGGATCGACGGGAGGCAAACCCCTATTCTGCTCCTTGTCGGTGATCTCCGGAGGTGCCACGAATGATCCAACACCGGTATCAGGCGATATGCTTCGCCCTGCTTGCTCCCCGAGGTCCGCACATTTACTGGTAGTGCGAAGCCCTCGCGATCCCGAGAGAGGAGACCGGATGGTTGCGGGATTGCCTCGGTTGCTGTCTTCGTTTTCCTTGTTAGTTTGTATGCTTTGTGCCCCACTCACGGACGGTTTGTTGGTCACATCTTGAGCTACGGATCTTGGCCCAATGGCTGCTGCAAATTGTCCATGTGCTTCGGGCATTGCACCCACTGCATTAGCCCGGCAACAACAGCAGCAACGCGATCGGAGCGAATTACACCATTCTTTCTTTGTCCTAGTTGACGTACTGGTATCATTTACAGTTGACTTGCGTTTTTTCTTGACATGTTTACGTACCGTTCGGAATATCCTCAAGTAAAAGACCATGACACACACCAAGCACCCAATGCCAAGAGGGGCTATGATCACAGTGTGGACGTAGTCAAATGGCGGTTCAGTGAGTCGACAGGTACAAAGCAGGAATAAAGAGGATTCATTGAGAAAGATGGAAGCGGGAACAGCGATGACGATCGCCATAATCCAGGAGATCGAAGTACCGACTATTACCCGACGGCGCTTTTTCTTGGTCTCGAAGGGATGAACGATAGCCTCGTACCTCTCAACGCTGATAGCGACCAACGTGACAAGCTGCACGGAGGAGCTGCTAACGTGGCAAAAGGTCTGCAGGTGGCAAATGATGTCACCGTAAGGATTGCAGTCACCGTAATTGTTGATCACCTCGGCCAACATGATCGGTATACTGGTGAAGCATACGACCAAGTCTCCCACAGCTAAGTTGACCAGAAGGGCGTTGTTAGCATTCCGGAGGTTTCGGTTCCTGTACACACTTAAACACACCAGACAATTGCCGATGACGCCGCTGATGACTGACAACACCAATATCACCGCAGACACAATCAGCAGAACATTCTTGAAATCTATGCCGCTTGGTACAGTCGAAGGCGACAAGCTTGTCCCAATAGTTATCGTGGATGAGTTTGCAGTCACAGGTAGAAGACTCATCGCGATTTTTATACCGTTTCTCCCTCTCGTGACTTACATCCGACCCGATTCAAAGCGTGGATGACACCGGGCATTATTTCCAGCTGTCTGTCTTTGGAAATACGTGTGCAGATATTGTCGGGAGGTAATCGCCTTAGTGCCACAGCGAAGATGAGATCGTAAGCCCACCTCGGATAGCAAGGGTTTTACGAGCGCGTTACTATCCCGCACTCCAGTCGTAGCTGCCAACGGCAAAGTCGCCGGTCTCGCAATTCCAAGATACGGCGCAAGTTGTTATCCGTTGCCCCGATCACCACATTAAACTGATCTTGATACGAACCAAAATGACAGATCACTCTGATGACATAGGCCCACATGCCTGTGCAAACTCTCACCATCTCCTATATCTCTGCACCATCATGTTTTTGGTCTATTTGAACACCTTATCCACACACGGCCTCACGTTCATTTGCAATTCACGATTCATTGCAGATAATGTTCGAATCACGTCTCCGCAAGCTCCGCCGTCGCGTGCGCGCGTGACGACGGGTACCTTGCTGGGAACGATTCCTCGCTGAATTCCCCCGCGACAAACTAGCCGTACAGCCGCGTCATCAGCATATTCAAACACCGCCCACTCGATTCACTCCACGCTTGTCCGCCAGACGGACCTATCAGGAAAGGGGAGAGTACAAATGGGATTGTTAGTGACAGGAAAATTGATGATATAATCTACAATGTTTGGGCAGAGCATAAGTAGAAAGCAAAGAGCTGGGATGCGAGTTAATTTCGGAGTTCAAGAGCGGAGCTTCGCACGAGCTTTCTAGCGAAACAAAAACCGAGCAGACTACATTATTGCATGGCCGCCCGCTTCGGGCGCATGTACGTTTATTTGCTATCCGGCATGTATATTGATGAGGGATCTAAGGGTTGAATCCTCCAGGGTAAGAAAAAGACAGATATAACTGCTTTAAAGAGCGTCAACAATTCTAAGCATTTTGTTCATATTAACGTTTTAAATATTTATTCTTCAAATGCCCGTGAAAGATCATAGCAAAGGGGCAGAGGCAATTTTCTAGTATAGGTTTTCCAGTTATTTTAAGTCACATTTATATCACACAAAATTCTCTGTGACGACCATTTGATTCCGTCCCCGAACATCGACGAGCTCACTTCTCAATTTCAATTCAAAAAGCCACCTATGGATATTATTTAAGGTGCAGTATATTTCAAATTTGTAACACTGTAATTCGTCCTGATTTCAGTATAAATTCGCCTCATATGGAGATCGGCGTTGAATTGAAAAAAGCAAATTCGTTGTGTTTCCTTCTGTTGTTTAATTTAACGCTTTGGTCGTTGAAATAACTACAGTGCATTATTGTTTTTGCATATCCTATCCTATTGAAGGCCTATACATTTCTGGGTATTGGTACGTTTTTTGTTCCTCTTTGAGACTCGATCCTGGAAAAGATGGCTCTCAGTGCTGGAGTTCAGAGACACCGAGACAATAAGGTATGAAACTCGGACAGAAACCGTATCATTCGAAGGAGAACAATTTAATAAACTGGCTGTTGCTGACCTGTACCCCTCGAGTGGAAGCGCCTTACTGCTCGCAGCATCACACTGACCTCCGTGAGAACAGAAGAAGAGGAGGGAGAAGACATTATAAAACAGACGATCAAGATAATTGTGTGATGCGATCAAGCTAAATGAGTCGCTTGAAGAGAACTTTCATTTGGAGATTCAGGCCAAAATAGGGCCACTTCATCACATCACTTCATCACCTCTCTTGGTGTTCCGACTTTCTTAATTCTTAAACTAAAGATGGTACCAGCATACGGTTTTCACAGCAGTAATGCTGAGATTGTGCTCTTTTAAAATCTGTAAAAAAAGACCAGGGTCGACAAACGACTCATCTAGCTTGATCGCGTCACACATGAACCCCTTGTTAACCTTGCGCCAACTATAAATTGACAGACTTCGGCAGTAGCTCCCGACAATATATTGCCCAAAGTACACTAGTTCGGAGTATGGATGGTATGATGATCAAACTGAAGCTTGCCCAGAATCTACCACAAGCCCGCAACGGCATTGCCGAGTGTAGAAATGACAATACGCTGAACACTTCAAAGTAAGTCCAAGAGATCAGAAACATTCTCTAACTGCAACGTTTCCGATCACGGGAAACGAAATGAAATGACAACAACATCGACTTGAATGACAATAAAAACCGAATTGGATTTTTCAATACAACGCCGATCGCCACATGAGACGAATTTACGGAAATGAGGTCGATTCAGAATGTTACAGATTAATCTGAATTATGCTGCACCTTAAATGAAATCCATCATGGCTGTTGGAAATTTAATTTGAGAGTAGAAATTGAGAATTGAGTTAAGTTGGGGACGAAATTTAAGCATCGTTACAGAGAATTTGTGTGATATGAGTGTTAAAATAACTGGGGAAAGGCAGTTTCAGAACATTGTCATAATTCGAATTCTTTGAAATTTACTATCAAAATCATACAAATTCTGAAATAATTTTACCTGCTAACAATAAAGCAATATCAGGGGATAGCGGGGTCCTCACGCCTCATAGGTCCGACGACTTAAAGTCCGAAATTTCGGACTTATGAGGCATCGGACTAATGAGGCATAAATTCCGCCTCATAGGTCCGACGCCGCAAAAGTCCGAAACAGTGTTAGTCCATTGTCGGACTTAATATGAGGCGTCGGACTTATAAGGCGTCGGATCTATGAGGCGGAATTTATGCCCCATAAGTCCGACGCCTCACAAGTCCGAAATTCGGACTTATGAGGAGTCGGACCTATGAGGCGTCAGACTTATGAAGCCCCACCCGATAGGCCTATTATAATACCATTTGGAAACATTCAAAAACAGAATTGCCAAAATACTACAAAATATTCCACTTGATCGTGAGTAGACCTTGATTACAGTGTCAAGCATCCTATGAAACCATTGTGCCTGGTATGCTGTAGCTTTCAAGAAAAGAGGAATTACCATTACTTCCCTGCGATGGTTCGACCCGAACCATCCTTTGGAAAAAGAGGGAACCTTTTTTTTTCAAATACTACATGCGTTAAAGGGCGCGAGCCATCAGCTATTGATTTCGTGCGCACGCTCGGTTATGCTAGGGGCATGCAGGTTTCTGTGCAAAACAGCCGGCAATCAGACATGCCCTGTGACCTATAGGTTTGATACAAGACAGACTTAAATTAAAAGCTGTACTTTAATTTGCCGGCTGTAACCATTTGTCACAAGACAATGAACTGGCCCAAGGCTGAATCCAGAACACATTTTTTTTTTGTAGAGGTGAGCAAAATCAAAAATATTCCCGAAAAAAAATGGGTTCAAATATTTCAAATGGGTTCATATATTTGTGTTTTTGTGAAATTAAAATGAAATTGGGCACTGTAAAGCGCTCTATTTTACAATGGACTTCAGGACTATTTTTAGGGGTGATCATCTTTGGATGGAAATTTTTCCCCAGATGAATCGGATTACCCTCCCCCCCCCCACACACACACACACACAGTCGTGTTTTACTATACTTTCGAGGACAATGCTTTATCTTTTCCTTTGTCCCAGTAATATAACACTCTCCCATAGACTAAGCACACAAACGCACGACTGAAGACCGATTTCAACAAAAGATGAACTCTCGAGGACAACAAAGAATCTGTTGTTCTCCCTTTGTCTGTCTGTCCTCGGGGTGTATATAGTTCACGTATACCCCCCCCCCCCCCACACACACACACCCACACACACGCAAAATGAACAGAAAATGAAAGAAGATGAAATAAGGTTTTGATGCGTGTCTTGAACACCTTGAAGACTTGTGAGTATTTTTCGTAAATAAAATGTGCAGGCAATTACCACTGAGGTCGATGGCAGTGTATTAACTGGTCTGGAACCTGAATGACCGGTCCAACCAGTGTGGCGTAAATCTGTACCGGCGAGTGGGGGGGGGGGATGGGGGATGATGAAAGTCCTAAAATTACCCGGCCGTGGAAATTCGAAAAGCGGGGGGGGGGGGGGGGGGGGGGGGGCTGGTCACCATACTAAGGGCGCTCTTCAGGATGCAGGGACGTTCGGAAAATACCTCAAAATCCGCATTTTTTTCTCGTCACCACAAAATGAGGGGGGGGGGATTCAATAATACCCCCAAAAAGTGGGGGATATATTCCCCCTCCCCTCCTTCGGATTTTCGCCCATAGGTTTAACGAAATTATCGTATAGGCGAACTTCAGAAAGTACGAGATTCGTTCATGCATTTGACTGAGAACATGAAATGTATACCGCATTTGCCAGATAGTTGTGAGCGCACGTATACATCATGAAGGCCAATCATCAAACTCTCTTGCAGGGCTGAACTCAAAACCAAAAATTAAGTAAAACTTATATATGCGAAGAAACAACGACCGTTACATGTACTGATCGGATCCCACAACAGAGTGCACCTACCTTTTCTTTTTAGTTTAGGGAAGATACCTTGGTGGGGAAGTTTCAGATTATGTGAAAGGAGCATTATGACATTTCTTTCTCCGTATATTGCCAAGCACTTCTCGTAATAAGATAAGTATTTGGTTGCAGATTTAAAAACAAGAATTAAGAGTTAGAATTAAAGTACATTGATTTGTAAGTATAGCGAAAGCTAAAACATGAGAATGGATGGAGAGTACAAAAAAGGACCATTATCCTCCAATCGCATTTCCGAAGAAAATCGTTAGTGTACCATTATGGATACAGAAATAATGAAGACTTTCGTATAACACTGCGTTGTCTGGCAAGTTGTGACGTTCAGGAGTTATGCAACATTATAATTTGCTTTGTGCAGGGCGCAAAATGTAGAATCAACGGACTGATCACCCTGCCATGTTATTTGATGCCCTGAAGGAAATTAAAAGAGAATCAGATTTCTATTTAGTCAGTGTTTAGAGCATTGGCAGAAAGTTATTTCACAGCAAATTGTTGTATGTTATGCTATTGCAGAAACACATTTGTCACAGAACCTGTTTTTAGGCATTTCGCATGTTCAGGCACGTCTTAATTGTTTGGATACATCCGCTTTTCTAGCGCAGGAGACAGCTTGAATTTAAAGATGTGTCAATCGAGTCACGATAATCACATGAGAAAACACATTCAGTACTCTCTTCTTAAAAACATGGGTAGTTACGGTTTTTATATGTTATTATTTGTTTTTAAATTCAATATTCATAAATACCTAAGGCAGTTTCATTTAGACCCATTCCTATTTGTCGAGAGCCCGTCGCGTGATGGCCGGTTTGAAACGGTTGATAAAGACCGGCTGGCTGATATTAAACACTTCCAGTGTCACATAACATTTGGACTCCTGTGAAATCCGGTGCCAGCACCATTTTCTTGGTTGAACGTTCACAATCCCCACGTATAGGCATGCGCAATACTACCAGTTAGTCAGTATTTCATAGTCCTACTGAGTTCACACTACACCGGGACAGCTGCAATTTACGCCACATCACGCAGTACGCGCGACGGTGCCAAGCACACATTTATTCCCTTAATACTACTGTAAGACCGTTAAAAAAAGCAGCATCATTCGTGATCACAATTTTTATGATGAAGAGTTCGCCATGCAGTCCTGTATACTTTGT